AAACGATCAAAGTGACTTATTGTCCCTCATTCTTTGGAATGTAAATTCTTACTGTACACAATCCAATTTCCACTTCTAAATAAAGGAAAGAATACAGAGATGAAAAGATTTCCTAAAAAGCTCCATATAAAAACATGATAGTTGAATTTAGTGCGTGTACCTGGTTTGAATGATTCCCAGGATGAGGAATATGGTAGGAAATGATGTTAAAAATAACCCACTACTTTTCAAAATTTGATTTATCATTTAACCTAGAGAACAGAAGGTGAGACTAAATCACATATTTCAATATCAGGACATACTGAAAGAAGACTTGCAACTGCAGTGAATTACTAAACTCTAATCCTAAATTCAATGAGGTTTACAAAACAATTAGCTTAATGGAAACTAGAAGTTATTATGCCCTACTTTAAGAAGCACCTGCATATTCTGAAAAACATAATGAATTTCAGTTGAACTGAAACCCGACTCCTTTAATCTCTGAAGCTGTGCTTGCCCAATTCATTCTTCAAAGTTATAGTCAACATCTGGTCAACAGTGTCACTGAACACAACAGTAATCTAAATTATTCCTTTTCATTTTATGTTCGGGGGCGGGGGTTCGTTGCTGCTATTTTTCCTTCACTTAGTTATAGGGTATTAAGCTAATTCATGCTTTTGTCTTAGTTTTGGAAAGACTTACTAGTATATACCAAAATCTAGGCAACAGAGACCCCTTTATCTTAATTTAAAGTAACTATGAGGTTGCACACTACAATAGCAAATTTGTAATCAACTTAAAGATGATGCCTTAAAAACACAATTAAACATGTCATAACAGAAGAAAACCCTTGTGATTACAAACGGTACCATGCTGGCTGGGGTTTTAAACAGAGGTTATAGACTAAGAAAAATCGCCACCCAGTGATGCAAATGGAAACTGCAATTTGTTTTTCTGTAAAATGAGTACCCTGGAGGATTACTTCAACTTCATTACTGAATGAATGAACAGCCTTTACCTTCTTTTGTGAACAGGAGCTGGTTCCATGGGAAAGGATGTTTTTCTACAAGGCCGTTTTTTTTAAACACCCTCCCCCCCTTGTTCTTATTTAGCTCACTTGACATTTTACAAAGGTTAAGGCTTTGAAAACCTCAACAGAGAAGAAGTGTTCCATCCCAAAGTGATCTAAGTGTATATGAACAGCCCAGGTATTCCTATTACAAACAAAAGTGCCTAGGCTCTGCTGGACCCTGAATTTAGCAACTCAGCAACGCCACCTAGTAACTGTGGCCTAAGACCTATTTGTGTTAAGCAGGAAGGGTTGCCTAACGGGAAGGTATTCTCAGGTGGGAAAAACAGATAATTTATTCTTTTAACAACATAGTTTACTCTGTCCTTGTTAGAAACAGGTTATAAAGGCCACATAAGATGATAATCTAAAAAATTCTGTGGACTACATATTGATAAGAAGTTGTTGCCATAATATAATCATGTTTCTAAGTCTTCAGTTCATTGCCTCCTTTAGAAATTAAGAAACACACAAAGGCAATCATATACATTTATTTGACTGTCATGTTATCTATTGCCACAAGAAAAAAAAAAAGTTATGTTAACACATGATAACCAAAATGCACATGTGTAAGTATGGGGCCATGTTAATAATAGCATTTTATATCTAGTATTTGTCCTATTTGACATTTTCAAAAATATTTTCCATAGCACTGAGACTACAGCAGATATATATGTCAGCATAGAACCATGTGATAAAAAGAGCAACTCAGCAGAACAAATCTTTTAAAAAAAAAAAAAGACATTAGAATTCTATTTTTAAAGACAATGAACTATATTCCTAATAATCCATCCTGACTCTTATCAGCCAATTCAGTTAAGTCCTTCACTGTCAAAGGATTCTTTCTGTACTAACTAAACAATGTATACCATATTCCAATCTCAACCTCACTAAGGAGATTACAGATTTCTGTAATATTTTATATACTTAAAGTATCAAATAGTAAAAATTGGGGGTATCAGAAATTAAAGCCACACTTTATGAACAATAATATACCACCCTCCTTTATTAAAATACAATGAAAAAAATCAGTACTTTCTCTTTTAAACAACAACAAAAATTTTCTTTTTTTAATCTTAAATGTCAATAATGTTTTAAAATTAAAAATGATAATATGACATTTTAAAAAACGGATAGCTTAAGTGTTTAGGAGGGCAGGAGGTAGGCTCTGCAGTCAGACTGCCTAGGCTAATTCCAGATCTGCTATGTATTAGCTGGAAGAACTTGAAAAACCTAAGTCCTCACCTGTATATGGAGAGAGAATACCACCACTTCACTTTCTAAGCAATTTACACACATTAACTCATTGAATCCCGCCCACCAACCCTATGGAGTGGGTACTGTATCCATGTTCATTCTCTAGATAAGATAAATGACACCAGGCGGTTACATAACTTGACCAAAATGGTAAAGGGTGGCAGATACGCCACCCAAAAAATGTGCCACTTTGACATAAGGATAATTTTGAACTGAAAGCAAGAGATAAAACCCCCATATGAAAGATGCCAGGAAGAAGGAGACATTCTTATCACCAGAGATGTGGAGTCAAGGCCAAGAGACCGGCACAGACAGAACTTGTTAAAATGACTCCTATCTTCCACTAGTCTCCCCACATATTTTAGTCATTTTCCCACAACCTGGTATATAAGCACTTGGGTTTTTCCACTTCTTTTGGTCTTCATTCCTTTATGAGGGCTGCCATGGACAAGTAAACATCTTGAAAACAAAATGCTTTTCTCCTACTAACTTTCTTATGTCTACTCAATTCTCTATACACTAAATGTACCTCCTTTAAATACCTATTAGATAACAAAAGGAATAATATTGATTTCTAACCATGAAACACAGGAAAAAGCAAGCCTCTGTTAAGAGGACAGAGGTGTTCTAAAATCAAGAATACAGATCAGAGTTTGGAAAAATCAGGCTTTGTGGAAGCAAATGTCTGAGAGGAATTTACTGCGAAACTTTTGAAAAAGCAGAAATTTGACAGAAGACCCAGGACATCGCTGCAGTTTTTCTGTGAGTGCAGCTAATACATTCCATGAAAGGGAAGCAACACTGGCCACTTTCAAGAAACGGAAACAAAATAGATCCAGAGACACAGAAGCATTGAACAGACCTTTGAATCTCAGAGAGAAGGTGGGGGCGTGTGGGTGGGTGGGAAGAGATGAACCAAAGAACTTGCATGCATCTAGCATAACCCATGGACACAGACAATAGGGTGGTAAAGGCCTGGGGGGGGGGGGGGCTATAAGGGATCCATGGGGATAGGGGAATAGGGAGACATATGTAATACTCCCAACAATAAAGATTTAATTTTTTTTTTTTTAAAGGAACTTGGGGTTGACAGAGCCACTTCTGACTTTGAGGCTCTCATTTCTGGCATGCTGAAAAAGGCCTGCTAAGCAGTTGTGTCTGCAGCACCCCACTGTACCCCAGTCAGAAGGCCCCTCAGAAAAATCACTGGCCCTGGTCAGACTGCGCCCCACTATTTTACCTCCAGTGTAGGGGATCTGGTGGGAGAAAAAAACAACTCTGAGCGCCCCAACCATGGCCCCTGTCCAGGCCACAGAAGCAGGGTCGAAAAAACATAGGCCTGCCAGAACCAGACTGCGGAAGATGCGGTATCTAAGGTAACATTTAGTTGGAGAAAATCTATTCTGATCTCCCAGAGATTCAGGTCATTAACTGGAAGAGGCCAGAGAGAGGAAACCTCTGTGTCCTGTCTGCAAAAGATCAGATCCTACAGTCAAAGACTGAAGAGGCAGAGAGCCACCCCCCATACCTGTGAATGTGCGGGGTCAGAGGCATGGCGGGAGCCTGGCTGCCAGAGGGTCTAAGCTGAAAATTCAGGATTGCCCTTGTCTCCTGCCGATGCCCAGGGACCCTAGTCGGACTGGGCCAGGATGAAGGGAAAGGTAGGAAACCAGACTCTGGAAGGGAAGACACCTGAGGAATATCCCAGAGAGTAAACCCCCTCTTGAGTTCATGCAAATCATCTCAGAGAGCAGCCCAGATCTGGTGGGAGGGGGTCCAAGGTGGGAGAGGCTGTGTGCCTCCAGGGGACACCTCACCAGAATCCACATCTCCTCCTCGGGGAAAGACGCCATGACATGAAGAAAGGGTTTGTGTGCTTTTATTTTTGTTGTTGTTGTTTTTGTTTGTTTGTTTTTAATATATTTTATTGATTTTTTACAGAGAGGAAGAGAGAGGGATAGAGAGTTAGAAACATCCATGAGAAAGAATCATCAATCAGCTGCCTCTTGCACACCCCCCATTGGGGATGTGCCTGCAACCAATGTACATGCCCCTGACCGAAATCAAACCTGGGACCCTTCAGTCAGCAGGCCGACACTCTATCTACTGAGCCAAACCGGTTTCGGCAAGGTTTGTGTGTTTTTTACAGAATTCCCCATGGGAAAAGGATAGCATCTGGTTGAAAGAAATATTTTCTAAAATCACTTAAATCCTAACAAGTAATAGTAATAATTCTATAATAGGAGAGAAACTAGGTTTAAATATTTAGGAAAACTAATTAATATTTGATTGAGAAGTGTATTGCCTTCAGCAAATATTTCTATTTCAGATGCCTAATGTAATTTAAAATGCTAATTTAAGAAGCAAGGCTTGCTACTAATAAATCAGAACTTGAAATTATCAAGGAATCTTTAAGAATTTTGGTTTTTCACAACTAAAGAGGTTGTCTAGCATATAAAAAAAATGATAATTTTATAAATTTGATTTGCAGGACACAACCAAAGCAATAAATAAGAAGAGTATAACTTGATGACAGCATTCTAAGTGATTAATGAACTTTATAGATTTAATATAAATTAATTCTCGAATTACTAGGAAATAATTTTTAAAAATCAATCCTATAATATTCAAGTAATTTTTTAAAAAGGAAAAATAATTTATGTAGTTGTGATTTCATTTCTTAACGGAAACTCACCTAAAAGGACAAAGCCATCTGCTTCCGTGTCTGACACTGAGGGCTTTTTCGGTTCCACGGGCTTCCTGAAGAAGTGAAACATCACTGCGGCCTGGGTCTGAAACAGAAACACTATATAATGTCCAACTCAAAGGAAACTGTAAAACTCCTACCCACTCTCGTAGCAAGCCAAATGTAGAGATATCCCAATAACTACTTTTTAGGAGTTCTATTATCAGACTTGAAAGCATGAGCCTTCCTATCCAGGTGTCAGAAGACAAAGCCGAAAATTAAGGTGCATGGACTTCCAGGCTCAAGTGAATCCTGTAAACTTCTCTCAGTTTTTGAAGGTGCAGGAAATAATCCAAGAAATCACTCCAGGGAAAACTAAAATCAACAGAGAGCACCACAACATGGAAGGATCTCACTGAACATAAACATCAATCATACACTTGATTGAGGAAAGGAACAATAGAACGAACCAAAAGAACCTGTCATGTCATAACTAGCTTGAGGCTCATAGAACTGAGGCAGCCTGTGGAAAAAGAAGGCATGTCAAACACCCCTCCAGTTGGTTATCTGATTCAGACCGTCAAGAGCTGTAGCCACTGTACCTCTGAAGCCAACTTCAAATTCCCATCAGGGCAGATCTTTGTGTTGGAGAGATTATTATGTGCTACCCCCAAACCACACACACCTCCTCTTCAACTTCCCATCTTTGCACATTCAAAAAGGCCAACAATTCCTAGAAAACAACTGGGAAGGAAGTTTAAGGGAATTTGTGAGAACACAGTACCCTGGAGGCCAGCCCCTATAAACAAAGCTGTGTAACAGATAAGAAAGGAATAATCCTGGTGGCAGCAAATGCTCCACATTTTTGTTTCCATATTTTCCACCCACACCAGAAGATCAAGCAGAGAGGGTTAGGAAAGATTTGATCTCAGAAAAAGCCTTCTAGAAACTGAGACTTGAGCTGGGGTTTGTGCAGATCAACCCGCCCTGGGCTGCAGATCCAATTGGATGATAAAGGAACCCATTTACTGTTAGAAAACACATTTTATCCCTTTCACTTTTTAAAGGGATAAAAAATGGAGGATAAAAAAGCACAAACCATGTGAAAAAAGAAAATGTCCCAGTAGAGGGAAGGAACAGCATCTGAAATCCTCAAAGATTTCTGCCTGGATATAGTGATGGATCCAAAAGAAAAGTCTGGAAATGGTTTGGCACCCTCAACAGAGCACAGGGGACATGGCCCCTGCGAGACTGGTGGAAAACAGGATTAGATGAAAAAGCAAAAGGAAAAGACAAGAAATCGAATAAAAAATAAAAAATAAAACATAACTGAGTAAGATCAGAGAAACCCATGCAAGAAAAAAATTATATCAAAAAAGAATTGGTGACTTATAACAGGAATATAAGAAAATAGAGTTCAAGTTCAGGCTTAACAGAATAGGAGAGGCAAGTAACATCTCAACCCCAAACGGTTAAAAATAAAAGGAAGAAGGCCTTTTAAGGGACAAAAGCTGATTAAAACTCAACTTGGGCTAAGGATCAAATCAAGGGTGCGGCCACTGGACATGAAAGCGCCTGTGCGGATTACTGTGGTTCTCAGTACATTCCTTCACTTGGGAAGCCTGGTTCAGGAAAAAGATAAAGGTGGTGGGTCTCCAAGGAAAAGCTGGTGGAGAAAAAATACCCTCAACTAGGTAAAGGAGGAGGAGGTATGTGGAGAGGTAAAAAAGATGAGAAACAGAGAAAATCTAAGTTCTATCTAACCACAATTGTAGGTCTGGCTACTGATACATGAGGCTGACTAAAATCAGAAAAGAAGTGAGTGACATGTTTGAGGGTTGTGATGCCAAAATGACCAGCTGCCTGGATTGAAAGAGGACCACGACCCTACAGACCGAGGAAGCTGCCCCCAAGGAAGGCCTATTCTCCCGTGCCGACCTCAGGATAGCCAAGAAGTTACCAGAAAAGGAAGAAACTCTCAGAGGGAGGAGCCAATGGCCATGGAGAACAACAGACTGGGGATGGAGGGCTCCTCCAGGAAGCAGAATCTGGGCGTAATTAATGAACATTCTCCAAACCAAGGTGGGGTCCCCCAAAATGCCTGCTCAGTGGGATTCCAGAATTGCTGCCACTCTGGGACTGCTATATACAGAGTGTCCCCGCAAAATATATCCATACACACTTTAACACTGATAGCTCAGTTTTGAAAATGCAATGTATTTTAATAAAGGCTGCCTTTATTAAAGTGTGTGAGTACACTTGGGGACACTGTATTTCCCATCCCTCCTCTTTCTAAATGGGAGTCATCTTTCCCAGTTCCACAAGGTGGGAGGGGACATGAGGGGCAGAACCCTGGTCTTTTTAGTTCATGAAGTCTCCAGACCAAGAAGTGCCACTTCTGGACCTGGTGAAGAAATACTGGACCTGGAGCAGGATGCTATGCCTGAATGGGGCGATTTGGGTTACGGACCTTGGGAAGGGGTGACACTTAGCCTGCAGCAGGAAGAGAGAGCAGAGTACATGGCAGCCACAAAAGAGAACCCCAGAATTATGAGGGATGTTCACTGGCTCTTTGCCTTATAGAGACAGATCAGGACTGCAGTTGTCTGCCCTCCTGAGGTAGGTGTGACCATGCAGCTTGCTTAGTTCACCCTATCACGTGTCATTAGACTGTTATAACAAGGAGCTTTGTGACACAGAGGAGGAGATGCCCTTTAAAAATCAGTTCCTGTTCTATTGTATAAAGAAAAGTCTTTGAACAGAAAGGACTCAAATTCTCAATATATTTTAATTCCTGGCCACAAAACAGACCCGGAACCAACATGGAAAACACTACATAGTTCTGGTATGTCATTCTCAGGCCACCCGATTATAGATATACTGTTAGGAAAGCCAGACCAAACTCAGCTGTAGTGCCAGAATCTCTTTTTAATGCAGGTATATTGCACAGAATTTATAACTTGGGTAACTAAGTGAAGCATTTAAGTTTTTCATGACCTGAAACAATCTACCAGCTGCAGCAGTCTGTTGAAAGTATGACTTGAAAGTATGGTAATGCATCATGTTATATTCCACCCCTTTAGAGCATCATAAAATTCCAGACAAAGTTAGAGGATGGATAATTTAGACTCCAAGAATCAAGAAATTCCCAAGCATGGAGAAAACAGGTCAGGAATAAGAGAAAGGTAGCAGAGACAGTAACGAGAACTCAGAATGCAACAAAAATCGGTTTCCTACAAAAAGCCATTGGAAACAGCTCTAAAATGATTACAACCATACCAGCCATCCTCGCACCTAGTATCCTGCCAAACTGACCATCCTCTTAACTCCTTCTTCTACAATGGCCCACTTCAAGATGGTTTTCCATGGTCCATTTTCCAATACAAATCTTGAGATTCCCTTATGTGATCAATACTGATGCTGACATTAATGAGAGGAGTCTCAAGTCAGTCTACAGGAATTGTTCCATGCATGAAAAGACTAGGTCTGAGACCCTAAAATCTATAATCAAATTATTTTTATGCCTTGACATTTTTATATGTCACTGAAAAACACGTACAGTGTAAGAAACATTTATCCTGGGCTGGCAATTACCATGCTAAGATATCCCATCGGGGAGCTCCTTCTCACAGGGGGAAAGCACATGGGTAGGTGCCCACTCCAGCAGCCAGGTTTGATCACCCTGCTAAAGGCTGGAGAGTAGGAAGGCAAAGGGAAGTAACTGCAAACCCCACAACGTGTCAAAGTGCTTTGCACACTCTGGCTTATGTAAGATCTCTGTAATTACTCACAATGTGCAAGAATTGAAGTAGGTGACATGCTGGTCCAAGTTCAAGTGGTTAGCAAATAGCCGTGTTAGAATCTTACACCAAGTCCTTTTGGCACCCAAACCGGATGCTTTTCATCAATAAAGCACCAGAGAGAAGGAGCCTTTCAACTGTAGGACATTTGTGTTAGACTTTAATATATTCCCCAATATTAGTCAAAAAACATTGGATTAATTTCATGTTTTATCTCTATTAATTCCTACCCTCCCAGCCTTGTTCAGCTCTATGTTCTGAAGACGTTTGTGACTTCCACAATCTTCACCTACTTTGTATTTTAGAAACATTTATTAAGCGTTTAGGCCAGACACGGATGGAGCACTGCAAATGCACCACTCAACTTATATTTAGGGTGGACATACTGCAACCCCGCCTTCCACACCTGCAGCACTCCTCAGCAAAAGGCAGAGTCCTTTTGGAGCCTCATCCCCAAAGTGGAGGCCGCCTGTAACAGTCCTGCTGCCCCAGGCCTAGTGAATGGTAAGCCCCAGCCCTTGTGTTCTGATGTACGTGACCTTGACATTTGGGCTTCTTTTGCTTGGAGTTCTCAAGCGTATTCTCGTCTTGTTTCCTTGCTCATAATTATCAGCATTTTTTAAATTGTCTACAGTGAGAAAATTCTATATTTAGAAAGAGAAAAAAAGTACCAAAATGTATTCTGACAAATACAACATTATCATCTAGCACAGTGGTCAGCAAACTCATTAGTCAACAGAGCAAAATATCAACAGTATGACAATTGAAATTTCTTTTGAGAGCCAAATTTTTTAAACAAACTTCTTCTAATGCCACTTCTTCAAAATAGATTCACCCAGGCCATGGTATTTTGTGGAAGAGCCACACTCAAGGGGCCAAAGAGCTGCTTGTGGCTCGCAAGCCGCTGTTTGCCAACCATGGATCTAGCAACAACACTCTTGCCTGGCTGAGCTAGGAGATTTAGAAAAATACCTCCTAATTCTCAAACATGAGAATCCTGGAGCTGCCTTGACATGAGAGATAAAGAATTCACCTGCCCAAGCCACAGACAGGCTGGGGAAAAAAACACATGCAAGTCACAAATCTGATAGATGATGTCTGTGTATAAAATAGGTAAAGATGTGTGTATATGAAAACATAAAGAACTGTTAAACTCAATAATGAAAAAACAAATTAATAAATACTGGGCAGAAGATATGAATAGACATTTCACCAAAGAAGACATGTGAGTGGCAAAAAAAAAAAAAAAAAAAGAAAGAATCCTCAACATCATCAGTCAATAGGCAAATGCAAATTAAAACCTCAA